CAGATTTGACACGCGGCCGCCAGCGGCTGCTCGAGCTCATTTGATTGCTTCGACGCGCAGTTGTCGAGAAAGGGAAGCGCTGGCTTCGTTTTGCAGCTTCTCAGGTTAGGGAGTATCAGCACCCATCAGTGGGTGGTTGATAAACCCCCGTGACCATTTCCATCCAATCACCATCCAATCACCAGGTGGCCATGGTGCTGGCTACCCCATGAGTGTTTACGTGGTAGTTACCTTACCTACCGTCCACGGTAGCCGTGAGCAGAATCTTGATCTGCCAGAACCGAGCTTTTCATCGTAGGAACTTTTTACATCGGGCGACAAGGGGGTCATTGCAAGGGTGGAGAATGTGCCAACAGAGGTTGAACAGCCCTATACCACAGACCAGGATCCTAGTTCAGGTCTTTCAACCGCTGGTGTGGCGGAAGGCGCTGGGAAAAACAACCCGCGCGGCCAGCGGCCGAACCGCTTGGATTTCTTGATGCAGGACTTGAGGCAGAAACAGTGGCCCCTACCAACCGGCAGGTGTTTCATCCGAGGTCTTCCGCAACAAATTTCCTGACTTTCGTGTTTTCACAGACTCGCAGACTTTCCAAGTTGAAGCACCGGCAGTCGTCGACACGACCTGGCAGGTGACCTTCCTGACCTTCGATTCATTCTTCCCCCACCCGGGAGTCGTAAAAGGAATCATGGCTGGACGTTCCAGCGGTTCCAGCGCCATTTTTTTAATCCCCATGAACAAAAACCTTCAAGGCCATGTCCACAGATTTAGGCTTCTAAAGTGGGCTGCGCTGACCTACCCCTCGAATCTGCATGGGGAATCATGGGGATGTTTTTCAATCCAGAATCAGACGCCGACTCGTCAGCAGCATTCTGATTCGGAACAGCCGGATCAGAAACTGAGATCCATTCAGTTGGTCGTGAAGACCTGGAAAAAAGGTGTCCATAATGATCAGTAGTCCAAGAACAACTGCCCCAAAAGTATCCGAAAGCAACTCAAATCTCATGCCAGACACTCCATGTTTGGAACCGTTGCATACATTTGTATATACCCAATATATAAGTAATATACGATTTCTAAAAACTATCAAATGTCTATTCTAATCTCCAGCATGGCGTGATTTTTCTTGAAATGAAGATTTGTTGTTTGGCTCTTGGATGAATGCCTCATGTCCCACTCCTTTCAGAGACCTCCGCCACGCTTCGGCAGGTGCCCACGTGCTTCGACGCACGAGTCGAAACGCCATGTCGGGCCCCATGGGAGGGCAGGCGCGGGGGAAGGGCGAACGGTTGGGCTTTTGTGTGTGATCTTGCTGAACAAAAGCACCATCTATCATATGTTTCACGGTTTCCGGTATGTCTGGAGAAGAAGGGGGGGGTTTCTGGGTGAGGTAAGGCCTAACAAATGGCCTTTGTAAGCCACTGAACTCAGAGAAGTTGGGGGAATTCGATCATTGGATCAGCCCAACGTCGCGGCGAAGGTGCGCGGCGACAATTTTGTTTTGAAGATCAAGATCAGCGTGCTTGCCATGTACAGCTTGTAGAACCAGCTTGATTCGCATGTCAAGAAATTTATAGAACAATTTTAGATGCTTAAGGAGCCAAATGCAACAAAGCCGGGCCTACCAGAACCACCCAGTTTGGATGGTGATTGGATGGTCACTGGCGATGGGAGTTGCATCAACCATCCAAACTGGGTGGTGTTGGGAAGCTTTGGAGATTTCAGCAGGGTCTTCACGGTCAATGCTTATCCAGAATCCAGGTCCTTGGTTGCCCAAGTTCATGGGTCTTCGAGTTCGGCATCCCATTCCTATCCAAGCAGAGCAGCACTCAAGCCTCCATATGTTTCACAGCCTCCAAGCAGTGAAGACGTCTCATCCCTTACACCTACTCCATATGGAACGGGCAATACGTGGGATTCCTCATCTGCACTTCGTCGTTCGCCGTGCCACGAGGTTTCTAGTGAACAGCAATGGGACAACCCATGGGATAGTACCAAAACCACGCAAGAAACACTTGGGAATCTAAATACCACTCCTGGGGAACCTCAGGGACTTAGTGGGTGACCTCTGGGAAAACCACAGGGTCCTTCAACATCCGTTGGGACTCGTGGTGCACCTGGCCAGGCTGGCTTGGTGCGCACCAAACCGGTGAGCAACCGGCGCATGCCCACGCGAGGTGGGGAGTCCGGGTGACCTGCGGTGGATCTGAGCGCGTCGGTGGATCTGAGCTGAGCAAATCTGATTTGGGGAAGACAGTCATGCAACGGTTGCTGGCAACCAGCTGGCTTTTTGGGATCGTTTCTTTTTGGTCTTCCCTGTGGGTGAATCGCCCAACAGGGGGTATCATGTTTTCTTTTTTACCAGTTCCTTATCAATCCAAGATCAGCTGAGCATGGAATTTTCAGTCTGATTCAGGTCTCCTGAATTCGCCGTCCGATCTTCCTGGATTGATTGGAAGGTTTGGGGACTGGCGATGGCGGCGATGGGGGGGTGAAGATGGGGAAGACCCCAGTGGTTGAAGACTAACGAAAGATCTGATAATCAGACATGAGGGGGCAGATGACAAGCTTTTGATCCGTAATATTCTATAGTAGCTGGAACATGACACCTTTTTGGGAAACATGCCGAGAGTGTTTGACCTCTTCCAAAGTCTATGGTGGTTGGGTCATTTGGGTGTCCGGCGTGCCCTTTGCCACCGCAGAGGCTTTAAGATGGGCAGCTACGTACGAATCACCTACAGGCCCGCCCGGGAGAGGCGTTTGGTTGAATACACTGGGGTGCCGAAAGTTGCGCTTCTTAACTTGTAAAACAGGACAATCCCCCTTAGAATCCTACGTGCAACATGTCGACACCTAAGTTGTGGTCAGATTTCCACACCTGAAAGCCTTATAAGTATTCTAAATTTAAACGGGTGTGGCGTGTCAAGCCGATCCGCTGTAGACTGCAAGTGTAATGTTGGAACAGAGTAAGAAGCTTAAACTTTAGGGTTCTTGAAGTATGGTTGCCGTTGAAGCGGCAACTGGTGGAGGACGCAACTTTGCGCGGGGGGGCATTTGCTGCACACCAGTGCTGCAAATGGTTTTGATCATCTATCCGAATCGAAAAAGATATGAGTCATGACCCTTACTTCGGACACGGTCCGCATGGCTTCCCCCTTCTGCTGAATTATTACTGATAGGTGCAAGTGTCACTACGTCACCGAAGCCTGAAGTCCTTAAGGGTACATAAGACGGGTAGCAAGATAGAACAAATGAACAAAAAAACATACCGGCAATATATATATATATATTAATAATGGTTATATATATATATGTATTTAATATATATATCCCTTGGCACCAGTCCAGGTGCAAACGGAAGGTTTTTTGGAAAGAACCTGGTTTTGAAGATTGGAATGCGTAAGCAACCCGTATTTTGCAAAAACCGGGTTTTCCAGCACCCTCACAATGAGGCACCTTGGAATGCCCAGTTGAGAAGCCATTTTGGCTTGGTATCGTTGTCTATTGGTGAATCTAACCCATGCACTTTGGTCACAACTGCAGACATATATATGTTTTGCAGACCACTACCTGGAGCTGAGAAGGAGATGTAATCTATAGATGTCCAACTAAGAAACATATAGACTTCCTTTGCCGGTCTTGTGGCTGCTGATGCCCCTTTTTCCACTGCATCTTGATCCAGCCGTGGGCCCAGAGAGCCTGCGGCACAAGATCGACTCTTCAGCTCAATTGCACTTCACTTTTGAAACCATTTCAATCATTTCAGGCAACTCTGAATCTTTGGCATGTCCAACAAGGCATTTGGCTTGAATCTTGAAATCCCTGAAGCTCCGTTTTCCCTTGCCATGCCTCGTCGTGGAAGCGGACAGGCCAAGGTGGAAAGGTCCACCTGCGAGACAGAAAACATCAACCGGGCATGGATGAATTCTGACGCAGTTCGATTCGTGACCATCCGCAACGACCGCATGTTTGAATCACACCGGGGTCGTGGAGCTGACAAGGTAGTAAAGGTTTCCATCAAGGATGCGGTGCACAACAAGTTTGCTTTGATCCCCTTGTTGGAGAGCATGGCTTCACACGACGGTCATCCATTACCCTATGTCAAAGATCTTGCGCGTGAGACCCTTGCCAAAGATTTGTATATATTGCAGAACAAAACTTGGGGAGTTGTAGGATCTAACATGATGTTCCTTGTCTTCTTTGAGGGTATATAGCTTGCTGAACGTCTTTGCACCCAAATAGGTTTCTATGGAATTGTCCACCTATCTCTCAACAACATTTCACATGCTGCGAGGATCAAGCTCTTCAGGCACAAGATGAATTTGATTCCGCACAAGGAGGCAGTAAGGGCGGATTCGTGGACTGTCAAATCCTTCTTGTCTTTTGTGAAGATGAAGACTCACAAGCGATTGGGTTCAAGGGAATCTTGTCAGGTCTATTGGAACACTTTGCCATATGCCCCCTTTTTAACTTTTCCACAATTACTATACGTCTATAGTTCCCAAGAATCTTTTCACGGTTGGCTGGCAAGCGCTTATATTCTCAGAATTATAGTTCTATATTCATTCTGCATGCATATAGCTGATTATACCTGTACGTATGTCTTGTTGCTTTCTTTCTCGCACTGTTTGCTAAGAACTCGGAATTCCTCAGCCTGCAGCGCATCTTGGACCCGACCATTGAGGCCAACGGTCTACTTCTCAAAATCATATGTGGAAATCTACACTGCGTGCATGCATCTTTATATTTATATGAATTCACTTTTGCTAGATGTCACTGGCAAAGCAGTTCCACATGATATTCATGTTCAAGAGAACCTTCCACTTTCCAGAACCGAGCCAAATCAAAATTAAAAGGGAAATCATAAGTCTGATATATTATCTGAGAAAGCCTGCCCCTGCAGGCTCGTGGACGAGACTCTGACGCTGTTGATGGTGATGGGGGTGCTGATGCTCCCCAAGACGACTCCCAAAGTTCATCGGCTCTTGGGCAATCAAGTGAGGTTGAAATTGGCGAGGACAATTTCACCTTTGATGATGAGGACCTCGAGGTAGAAGATGAGGATGACTCTTGGTTTGATGACATGGTTGCTAAGGAGCTAAAGTCAAACAGCGTGGTGCTTGTGGAGACTCCTGTGGAGACTCCTCTGACTGATACTGTGATCGAGGAAGACTCCCAACCTCCTTTTGATCCCAAAGAGAGCACACCTGAAGGAGCCCGTCCAGTCGCACGCCCTTTGACAGCTGCGGCCACGACTGCCGTGATTGAGCTGACAGATTCTCCTGTAATGAAGTGTGAAGCCAACCAGGTGGCGGAATCCAGCGCAAGAAGGACTGCAGGGACCAATGCGTTGGAGATCCAAAAGCTCAAGGACAAGCTTCAAGAGTTGGAGAAAGTCATCAGTCGCGTTCAGCCGGGTTCTTATTTGTGGGGTTTTTGGTCAAAAGCAGGTCAATGAACAAACATTTTATGATTGAAGTCTTTGTGTACACCTCTCTGCAATGGTTCAGTATGGACAAACAATTCACATGCGTGAAGATATGGTTCACGACTATGTCAGAAAGCTTTAGTCGATTAAAGAAACAGCCAGCTCATCTGTATGAATGTGTGCGTTTGTAATTTCTCCAGATTTTTAAACAATATATATTTAAGTAAATTTAACTTGAGCAATGCATATATATAGTTTTGGGGAGTCACATTTCTACTGTTTTTATATTTTCATTTGTGCTCAGGACATTGGAGAATAAGGTGCATCAGGATGTGAAAGCGGTTTCCAGCATGGAGAATGCCACATTCTTTGTGGATGACACGCTCCCGGTCGGCGACGATGTGGAGCAAACCGTCCCTCTGGAATTATCCCAAGGTCGAGTGACTACTTCGGTTGCCGCACTTATGAAGAGAGGAGAGGAAGAAGCGCGTGCAGCGCTCACGGCGGAAGAGATTGCAGAGCTGCAGAATGGAAAGGACCTGGCTGTTCAAACACGACCGGGTGCACAAGCATCATTGAACAAATTGTACAAAATTAGTGCTGCGAGCTTGGATATATTAATTATAAGTAAGACCTGCAATTTCATGATTTCTTGTTATATCCTTAATTATATATATATATATACCAAGTCTCATCGAAAGCTTGCGGCAGGAAGAACAGCCGCTCACCCGTCGTGCGCAATTGGGGCTGAAAGCAGACAAGAAAGAGGAGAAGGAAGTTGGGAAGGGCAAGGGAAGGGGTAGAGGACGGGGAAGGGGAAAGAAGCCATCCAAGGTCGAGGAGGCGGCCTGTGAACCCAAGGATGGGAATGATGATGAAATCCAAACTACCCCAGTGCGTCCTCGTCGGCTCCGCTTTGAAGAATTGGCCTCTCCTGAAGGCAACCAGCTTGCTGCAGCAGCCAAAGCGGGGGCCTCGCCACCCATTCGGCAAGAGAAGAAGAAGGTGAGAAGGTCCAAGGCCAAGGCTGAAGCCAAAAGCTCATCGGCTCAGGAAGGTGGACAGGAAGGAAATGGAATGTCTTCGTCACCGCCTGTGAAGCAAGCCAAGAAGCGTGCCAGGAAGCCCAAGAAGGCAGAAGAAACTGAGCCGGCACCGGAGCCTGAGGCGGCACGAGCGGCAGTTGGTGAGCCCTCCGCTTCTGCTGCAGGGTCAGAGCCTGGTAGAAAGCCGCCCGGAAGAGCTGCAAGCAGAGCTGCATTGAACCACCTCATTGAGTCCAAGCAGGATCCAGCAGCATGGCTTCATGTGCAGAAGCTTTGGGAGGCTATGGACAATTTGCCAGTGAAACAGAGCGATACCAAGAACATCCCCAAGTACATGTATTGGTCTTTCAGCATGTACTGGAAGACCAACCGCATGGGGGTCCTTCAGAAGAAGGAAGGTTCTGAGAGGGTGAATGTCTGCTCATTCGGTGTCTCCAACTGCCGTTCCATCTCGGTGGCTATGAAGGCTGCGATGCTCTTTGCTGGGGTCTTAATTGCACTGTGAATCGTATTAATGACATTGCCCTTTCCAAAAGAAACCACAAAATCATAAATTTATCAACAAAAATATTTTTGGTATGCAATCTGGTCTACAATTTTTAGGTTTGAAGCAAGAAATTAAAATGCTCTTACCACTCCACACTGAGGTCGACTTCGTGGGCGGAGACAAGCCAGCCAAGGAGATGAAAGATGTGCAGGGCCTTGAGGTGCAGGCCTACAAGGATGCCCTACAGGATATTGTCAAAGCCATCGCCGTTGCAGATTTACTTGGGAAATCCCTGAAGGATTTCTGATCTTTTTTGGAAATGCGATGGCGCACTTTTGAGCGGTTTAAACTCACCAATGTGCAAAAAACATGCAATGTATGCGTGTGATATTTGAACAGCACGCTTTCGTTTCATGATCTATATAGACTTTTTGTGTGGATCGGCTGCACATTGGAGGTCGTCTTTTAGCAGCATATGTATGTAGAAGTCCTGTCTGCGGGCTGAGCTGTAGATTTGCAAGCGCCCCTCTATAGACAAGCTATGGGGTTGGCAATGGTCGTCTACTCCCGTATAACTCATGTGGCTTTCCACTCTGTTGATCTGACACCTTGGTTTTTCATGTTTCAAGGTTTGTGCTTGTGACTGTGGTTTCATCACCCTATATATATATAATTTGGACGATCCATTGTGGGGGTTTGGCAGGTACCCTGCCAAGCTAGCTTGACAGAGGCATAGAGCTGAAATCAGCGGCCCTTAATCCTGCAGGCTCTTGGAAAAAGACTGCAATAGGAAACCTGCTCTTTATATAAAGGCCAAACTTTCTGTACAAACGCCAGTCGTTCGATCGTGAACTCTCTCAAGCTATTTGGCTCCTGTTCATGCCTTTAATAAACACAGGTGTCGAAACAAGTACATTATATATATAACTCACAGTTGAAGAGTGTATCAACTCCTGCCCTGTAGTCCACCCCAGCTCAAAGCCCAACACCCGGGCCTTGTGTTCCAAGGCCCATAGCGATGCCAAAGCGAAAAGCCTGGGAAGTTCGTCTTCTAGACAGGCTGAAGCCGGAAGAGGGTAGAGCTGGCTGAGTTTGATCGCTCCACCATCGAAGTTTCCAAGTTGTGAAGCCCACACAGGACCCCTATAAGATTGGAAATGTACTTTTATATATTGTGCGTATATAAAAGAAGCAATGACTCATGACGGACACTGCAGTGAACCCCTCTACTAAACTGCATCGGCTCAGTTGTGAGGGTTGTGGAAGTGAAAACTCGCACCTTTGGTTGGAGCCATGGGGGGCCTGACTCTATCCGAAGTAGTTTGGAGGCTTCATTGCGTTGGAGCCCCCAAAGCCACGCCCTTACAGAAAGATATCTGTTTCATAGGGAACCGCATAAAGCTCGTGTCGAGCAGCCTTCCCCACGCCCAAGGTCCTGACCTCCATCATCCTGATGCTCCTGTGGAGCTCGAATGTCCAAACGATGACCGAGGCCAAGTATAGTTTGGATTCTCTATATGGGATGGACATGTGCATGCACAAATGATCGTATTGCATGTCAGTATATTTTTTGTCACTAGCATCTTTCAAGAAGTGTTGAGGGATTGCTGTTTTCAATTAGTGATATCCCGAAACTTGGTGTCTACACCCTGTGCAGTCCTATGACTTTGTTGAGCTGTGGGCGGGAAAGGCTTTTGCTTCTACATGCGTCCGCAAGTCTGGACGCAATACAGCCTCTTTGGACATCGAATACTTCATGCCAGACCCACAGCATCCTCATCGGTCAAACCACTTTGATATCTTAACATCTTCAGGATTCCTGCGCCCTTGTCGCACATATGATAACCAAATATTCTTTTCACTGGTCCCATACACATATGTAGCCGGAATTTACTTATGTTTTTCCTCTATATAGTCAGCTGCAGGTTGGCAGTGACTACATTGCTCAATGTGAAGCCTGGTCAGGCGACAATCCTCATGGCTATAGTGTGTAGTTCATGGACGGTGGTGAATATGGGGACTTCTGGAAGGCATGTCACCCATCCTCTCGGAATTGGAAAACAAGGTGGCGAAGCCCCCAATTACGTGGCTGAAGCAAACATCATGGCATCAAGGCACCTTGCAATATGCAATCCCTTTTAGATCTTCTTTTTTTGGGGTGCTCTGTTGCATGAAATTGTGTTCATTAGGGGTTGGCTTGATCTATCGCGCATCGCGTGCCCAGGCTGTGCCTCCTGATCTATGTAGCGGAGATGATGTCCTCAGCGTGGTTGGTGGAGCAACCGGTCAGTTCCCTTTTGAGATTTCATCCACGGGTCATGTGGACCTTCAGCCATTTCCGGGTGTCTCAACACAATGAGCAATGTTTGCCAAGTTCAACTGGAGCTTTTGCAGGGGCCTTTTCTCGGGTGGGGGTGGTCCAACTGCAATGACCAATATTAGTGATTGTCCAAGGTTTTTCACCAGTTCTGAAGAGATGTAAGAATCGCATTTCTGAGGGAATCGAAAATAGTGTCCGAACGCCGTGCCCCGACAATATGTGGATATCCTCAGTAACGTTTCTGGATGATTGAGCCTTCCTTTTTTCCATTCAAAAAGACTTTGAACCCATGAACTACAGTTGGAGGTTTGTGTGGAGGTTTGGGTTTCCGCCGGACCTCGCTTGATCCCACCTTTTGATAATGTGAGCCAAGGTGTGGGCAACACGGTGGTGGATGGGGATGTATGGAGCCAAAACCCCCAAGCGCCATATCGCTTGGAGTAACAGCCCGGATGTGGGGAGGCTGGACCTTGGAAAGCTCGTGTGGAACTTCCAGGACCCTCAGTACATTGCCAACCGCACGTCTAACACCAAAGTGAACAAAGACGGAAAGAAGCAGTTTCAGGGCCGGAAGAAGGAACTCAAAGACAGCCAGTACCTTGACATGGTTACCATGGTTGGTGCACATGTATTTCTCAAAACGCTCACTTTCAGAGAATGCCCTTGAGTAACAGAATGTCCGTCATGGAATATTCATTTCCTGCCAACTTTTTTGGAGCATTGGCATTCAATAGCGGGGACTTGACAAAAAGCAGGTATACATGGAACATGTGCAACGGGTGAACAAATTATGTCTTGCATCAATGAACGCCATAGTTTTGGAAGTGCCCTTTTCAACGCTCAGTTGAACCAAAAAAGACATCAAAAAGGGCACATCCAAAAAGTAGGATTGAATGCCTCTGCAAGTGGTAAATTTTTGTTGGGTCCCATTTTTGGTGAAGGGTTTGTTTGTAGTTTTCTGAAACGACGCCGGGAAACACAAGAAGGGAAAACAGTTCAACAAGCCAATGAATATAGGGGCTTACATCACCTCGCCAAAACCATTTATGGGTGTTCTTTCAATAGCCCCCAATCTTTTGTGGGTGCAATCATGGAGCATTTCACAATTACAACTTGAGTTCAAGGGACGTTTCAGGAATAGGAACCTCCCCTGGTTGTCTTGGCCTCTCCTTTAAATATTGCACTTAGTTCCACCCCAAATTCTTCTGATATTGCTGGCCATCTAAATACAGTTCTGACATTTTTTGTAAAGGTATAGGTGATCTCGCACGAAACCAACACATGGGACACCAATGAATGCAAACCGTGGTTCATCTAAGGCATTATCCATTTCGATTCGGGCTCCGAGTGCTGAGACTCTTGCCTCGTTTGCAGTCCAGTGGCTGCAAAAGTCTGCCTCCCATGCCTGACGGATTTGACCCTTTGGCTTGCTACAGAAGCCAGACCTTCCATGACCTTTGGCAGGATTCTAATGTGATAGAGGTCCTGACATATCTTCGAGGGAACTGTCATCTTCACATCCCTCCAGATTGGAGAGATCACCTACTCGGCTAGTTCAAAGAACTGGCATGCAAATTGTGGAGCTTTCTATAGGAGCTTTACAAAGCACTATTGCAATAATTTGCGATCCTTACCATGGATGCCAAAAACCAGGTTTTCACCCGTAGAAAACCCATAAAAAAATCCGTAGCCGTAGAAAACCCATAAAAACCCCGTAGAAAACCCATAAAAACCCGTAGAAAATTATGTAGTTTCATGTGAAAATTTTGACATTTGAAAACATGTGATATAACAAATTTACACTGGTATTTGTCGTCCATGGGAAGGTTTCTGCATCATCCGACCCACCTGTGGCCTAGTACGATGCAATATCATGGAAATATGTGTTCTTCTTTATATGTGAACACATGATCCTGCGGGTGTTTCATATGTACCAAACATTACCAAACAATACAAAACATGCAAAACATGTTGTTGGGATCCGGCTCAAAACCTCCAGGTTGGGTTTTGTTGTAAGAACCTGGTTCCGAAGCGACGTCCCGTGCGCAGTGATTTCGATGGCTTTTCCTACATTCCCGTCAAAGACATGGAGTTGTGGTTCTCTGGCAGCGGGGAACAACGAGCTTTTAGGTATTAAGAGTGAGGCCGCTCGTTCAAAGCAGGCAGACCTCGAAGCCCAGAAGAAGGCAGGGTCTTTATTTCAGTATAGTTGTCTCATCTGTCCCACATGGTTTGGAAATCGATGAGCCCTACATATATATATATATATGTGTGATAACCACTGCTATTCCGGCAACATCCTGTAACCGTGCGAGGCCATTAAGGCACAAATTGCTGCTTTGCAACAGGATGATGCTCTAGCTCTAGAGGTCTTTTGTCTAAACTGTTTGGTTTCGCATTCAAGACTTTCACCAAACATCGCCACTTTGCATCCTAAGAAACATTTGCTTGCTTCTTTTGAAAGATCCCTGCAATGTCAGCCCAGGTCCCTGGTGATCTCCCCTCCACCGAGGAGACTTCAATGGCTCCTTGCACGTTATATATGTGGATTTGTTATAGACAGCAAACGCGAAGCTTCATGTCCAAAAGCTTGCCTCACATGATCTATATTTCTATATGGTTGGATCCAATGACTGTCATGCTAGAACGCACGTGCGACAACTCACCATGGCTCGCTGCCAGTCACGCTGTTGCGCGTAGACATACATATATATATATGTACGTATATGTATCTGTGTTTGAGGCCCTGGAAGATGATACGCGAAAGCGTCCCCCGCCGCCTTCTACCCAGTCCACGCCTGTGAAGAGTCTCGTCGCTGCCAAAAGGCCTTGCGCAAAAGCTCAGGTGGGAGAAGTCAGCGGTTCAATGGTAATTCAACGGAATGGAACGATACATGAGCATCCTCAGTCTACATGTATGGACATTGGTAATTTTGGCGGGATTGTGTTCAAGAGGGAAGTTCACCAATTTGAGCAGGTTGGTCCTGCAACAGCAGCGAAAAGCAGGGCTACACCACCGCCCAAGGACTGTATGGGATTTTTTGTCGTACAGTTTTTTTGAGAGGGCTCGTTCTTCTGCAAAAGGATATTTGTGCGCAAGTCAGGCAAAGTCACATGTATATTCCAGGCGACTTAATATATATATATATATGTTAACAAGCTCAAGGCATTTGCATAGCACAAATGCGCATCTTTTATGTGTCTACGAAGATGGTCAAGGCTTCTGTGTGTGAGGTAGAAGCGAATGCTATGTAATGCCCAGGAGAGCCCTGGTTCCACGGTGGAACAGCTGCAAGCGCAGCTAGCTGATGCTCTGAATGTGATTCAGCAGATGAAAGCGGCAGGAACTTCCTTGAGCACACCTTCGCCATCTCCTTCTACTGCTGCTACTACTTCGCCTTCGGTTCCCCAATCGGTTGAGAAACTGAAGCCTGGGGTGCCTGGGAAGGCCCCTGCAGATGAGGCATGTTTTTGTGGGCTACATATGCTATATATCATCGGTTGTGGCGTGTTTTTGTTTTCTGTTATTTGCTGTGACACCTTGAGGCCTGCTGTATATATATATACACTGCCCCCGCAATCGCTCAACAACTGCCTTCAGGTCCATGATGATGATGAGGCTGCACACGCTGCCGCGTTGAAGCGTTATCACATGGTTGATGCGCGCTTGCGACGGCTTTGCGAGGTTAAGGCTAGCGGCAAATGTAATGTACCACCGGCTATTCATCAGGCTTGGATTAAAGGAGGTAAATCCCGGGATGACCTCCGCGTACTGCTGGAGAAGTTCGATCTTGACAAGGAGAGAGATTTGCAGCATGGCCATTATATTATATAGATATATATGTCTGATTCTGTACATATATTTTGGATCCCTGTGAAGGAGAAATTTGTGAGCCAGGTCACCAAAATGATTGAGCGCAAGAACGAGAACTCTGAGAAGGTAAAGTCTGGGTGGTTCACGCCAGATCAAATGCGCAATGAATTGAAGTGGACGGCGTTCCTTGTACGCAACAATTGCAGAGTTACAGCCGGCAGTATACGCACACGCGATGTATGCAAGCTTTTAACTCATTACACATGCTCGCTGCAACTCCAATGAAACTTGTCAAGGAGCTACATCAAAGATGCTATAGCTTATTGCCGCAAGCATGGTTTGGTCAAGAATCTTGATGTGCAAACAGCTGTTTTTCAAACATGTGCGGGCCTGTTGCAAAATGGAACGCCAACAAAGTCCACAAAACTATAATTTGGTAATTATATTGCTTTTTGAAATCTCTTGAACATCGTTGTAAGGAACGACAAGTACTCGAGCAAGGTTCACAAGTATTACGTCGAGTTCTCTGACACCGACTACAAGAAGCGGACCTACACCGAGACTGAAACGACAACTACGACTGAGGAGGCCTTGATCTGGATGTTTTGTATGGTCGACCTTGTCTTTGTGTGATCCATTCACCTTGAGTGCACAGAGATAGAGAGCGATGGGGCGCAACAAGACCCATGTTGCATATCCACATGATGATTTCCATTCGGCTATGCTTAAGATTCGCATTGAGGGTATTTCAGAACTATATATATATGTGTTTCTCTTGTGCGTGTGAGGCTGCAGCACCAGTTCAGCTTGGGGGAGGCTTTCTTGAACCGCCTGTGCCACCCACCGAGGGTGATGAACCAGGCAAAGCCCAAACACCTCATGAAGGGGAAGCTCAGCTCGATCTAGTGTACTTCTTGTAGTTTTCCTATTCAAGCCTTTTTGTCTTACACTACATGAATGCACTCCGAATCTGAGGAGATGGAAGTGGAGCAAAAGTTTCAGGATGGCATGCTCACCAAAATGTCTAAGATCACGGACTTGATCTCGCGTCTGGAAAGCCTTGAGGGTTTGGATGGTGTCAATGGGGATGACCAAAAGCGAATCAAGAAGCCTAGGGCTTACACAATCGATTGCATGTTTTGCATTGTCGCTGCACGTGCGCCTATGCATGTTCCGTGGGGGTGTTTCAACTTACCGAAGCTTCCTCCCTCGCCCTCAGGATGGTTGCCGCCTTGGAGGACAAGATGTCGCCGGCGCAAGAAGCGTATGATACCTTTGTGGAGGCGAGGATGCAATTGGGTGAGGCCGAGAGGACCGAAGAGAATCTGAGTAGCATTAGACCCAATTATAGTCCATCCAGCGATTGAAAGTCATCTCAATCTAACATGGAGTGGAGCAAGCTTAGCCCTTTGCAATGTTAAATTTGGAGCAATTTTTCCAAGGAACACTGCCGAGATCAAAGACAAGATGCGCAAGGCAATGGGACGGAAACTGGTCTGCACCAACTCTGAAACGACCATGAACAAATTACAAGAACAACTGTTTCTGTTCGTTTGTGTCACCCACAACCCATGCATGCAATGTCAAAAAAGCAACTGCGACCCTGAAGACTCTCGACATCTCAGGGCATCCACACTTGCTTCGGTGGAGGCCCAGGCCAAGCAACTGGCCTGCACTGAGGCTGTATAATGGAGTTGTTGGATGCGTTCTTTTCTCTACGAGTGCTTTGCAATATGTATATTATATACGGCAATATATGGAAAATGTACAGTGAAGGTATTTTTTATATCAATTCTCACTTGACCAAGGGCTTTGGAGAGAACCATCAAGAAAAAGGTGAAGGACCTCGCAGCCGAGAAAGAGGACCAGTGAGCTGCGATTCCTTTGGATTTACTTCTGATGCGTGTGTTAGAGAAACACATGCAAATGTCACCACTTAGAGCTTTAAAGCTGGTATTTGTCGGGTTCACTTGGGGATCATGGTGGACCAAGCGCGACAAAGGGGGTTTGCTGCGCAAGCCTGGTTCTCAAACACATTCACCTGTCTCTTTGCCGCTCACTCCCCCCTTCCCTCCTCAAGAGAGCGCATGCCATGCACATGGCAGGTGGGGAGCCTGAACTTCACGGCTTTGCTCGAATGGTGGGACAGGGAGTTGGGGGCCCTCAGGATCAAAGAATGTGGGGCGTCTTGAACATGTATACATGTTGCAATTGGAAGTCAGGGAAAACCTAAAACCCAAACATGTGAGTGCGCCCATGGTCGGTATTTTATGGTAGGTGCGCCATATACTTTGGTTCAACACCTCGATCCACACTATTAAGGACATCACAACATTCATGTTCAACAGGGCTACGACATGTACCACAGGGCTCCCAACACGCCTGTCTACCAAGACCCTCCAAAGACATTGTTTGAGTAAGTCTTCTGCCTGAAAGAGCTAAGAGTTCAGGTTGGCAAACATGGAAGCATATTGAAGTGAAGTGTCCTATTTGGCCCTTTCTGATAGCCCTATTTCCACAAATAACATTCCTCTTCAACAGTTTCAAGGTTTCTATCTACAGCCGTTTGTGTGAGCCTAGCCCTCAACGAACACATGTCGCCTGTAGCTTGGTGTGGTCGCACCACCTTATATGGTAGGTGTGTTGCATGGATGCAGAAACCCAAGATCGATCTTCCTGGGTTGTTAGAAAACAACAACACAAACAAATGTCGGAAAACCCGGAGCAAGCAAGGTTGGAGAGGAGCTGTTCAAAATTGTTGTGCGGGAACACCGCTTGTTTCAATCGGGAGTTCCTTTGGGCAATATTTGTGGATATAGGTATATATGTGGGAATAACATGGGCTGGACTTTCTGGGTTGGAAAGACTGCGAATCTTACCAGTATTGCCACTGATCGAGTCATACAAGGATGCATATATATAATATATACATATATGGTGAGAAAGCTGTTCTACAAAGAAGTGCTCATGTAAGTGTAAAATTAGATAGAAACATCCTGCAATGCGTCAAACACTGCTCAACGTGATTGCCCCAATGAGTGGCGATATGGAGAAGGCCCTCCATGCAACTGAAGAAGACTCATGTATATATATATGTGTAGGGGCACGTGTTTATTGTACTGTGACCCTTTCTGCATGAACAATGTGTGTGAAGGTACTCTCATTTGTTCTTAAGAGTGCACTGATGCAAACGCCTTTTTCCATGCATCGTACATGTCCTGCAATATGTGTATACATGTGCCATGAAAACAATACCTGGTCCATACCTTTGCCTCCCGTCTGGCCAAGGTCTCTTGCAGAGATGCCATCAGACAAGCACGTGTCACTCGGAATCCTTCCACGGCATTGCAGAGGCTTGCACGCGTTCCTTTGAAGAAATCTGAAAGTGGAGCGCACAGAGTGTTCAAACAGTGTGGCCAGTCACTTGAGATCAAAATCTCGAGAGTGGACCTTGTCAGCAAGACTGACTTTCCGTATGTCCGTTTTTCGAGCTGGCTGAAGTATTTGGTTGAGTTCGACCAGATGCAGCAACTTGTGGGGGTCTCTGATATCTCTACCATGAATAAGGTCCTGAAGATGTTCTGGAGCCGCTTTCGGGAGTCACATCCGGAACACAGAATGTACTCTGCAGAACCTGGCGCTCCACAGCACCCCGAGTTCACAATCCCTGTGGTGACACACGGGGATGAGGGGAGAGGAAGGAAGAAGAAGCAACTAATGGTCCTTTCAACAACTGGAGCTCTTGGCCTGGGAACTTCGCGCTGTCATAGTGAAGGTCCAGATGACCAGGCCGATGTTGAGCAACTTTTGCGTCTGAACCATTTGGGCAATACATCCCTGACCCATTTCTTGAGCTGCGTTCTCCCGATTGGGTTATACAACAAAACTCCAGAAGTGTTGGATCAGGTTCTAGACTTGCAGGCGCAAGAGTTTGTTGAACTGTTCTATGAAGGTCTCCTTGTACAAGGCCGCCGGTACTTTGTGGCAGTTCTCGGCTGCAAAGGGGATGCCCCCTACCTCGGGAAGTGTGGGCACTTCGAGCGAAGCTTTACAAGGAAGCCAACTCGGGCGACCAGCCGCAAGCCTGCAGTGGGCGTGTGCCATTTGTGCTTAGCTGGCAAAGAGAACTTTGCCTATGACGTGCCGTTTGAAGATTTTGGTGTTCTCAAGCCAGCCTGGCTAGAGACAGTTGGTCTGATTAGGCCTTGGGTCATGGACCCACCGTATCAGCAGATTCCTTTTGAATCTGATCACGCTCCGTTCGAAAAGTTCTTTCGGTTCGATCTCTTTCACAACCTGCACCTCGGCGTGGGTAAGAACTTTGTGAGTAGTGCAGTGTGCATCATCCTCGAGATGTTCCAAGGGTTGACTCTCCCGCAAGCTTTTGAGCGGCTGACTGCAGACTTCAGGGCATACTGCCAAAGAAATCATGAAGCTCCTTACCACAAGACTTTGCAGGGCTCATTGTTCGGAGTTCAAGGCAGCTTTCAAGAGACCCCAGAGGGGGCGTGGAACAAGGGAGACTACACCAGACTACTGCTCCAATGGTTTGGTGATTTCTGCTCTCGAGAAGTCATTGGCCATACTCAAGAACCGATCTTTGTGCTTTGCGTTCCTTTGCAGTGTTCAACATGTTTGGTTTGTTGTTTGCAGGGAAACGATTCGCAAACTTGAATTTGAGGAATCGATCCTTGCTGTTTCAATAGCCGAGGCTACCGCTACTTCGGCTATCAACGAGTGTGTGGCCGGCCTCTATGCAGAAAGCATCTTCATTGAGAGTGACAAGGCTGAGCATGTTGCCCTGCAAGGGCTCCTTTTTCTTCGACGGTATGCAAAGCTGGCAAAGCTGGCTTTCGAGCGGAAGCAAAACCGCTTCCCTCTTACTGCGAAAGGACATTTTTTACATCATCAATTCTTGGAACTCCATTCGCAATCTAGGTCATGCCGCTTTTGCGTGAACCCACTGCTGTACGCAAACCAAATGAGCGAAGACTTTGTGGGGAAGCCGTCAAGGCTTGCCCGCAGAGTCTCGCCCAAAACCACGGAGATGCGAGTCCTACAAAGGACTTTTTTGTCAATTAGGAATGCACTTTGTTCATCTGCAGGGGGTTGTGGTGGAAAGCTGTGATGTCACTTAACTTGTGAAGGCTTCAACATATATATATATGTGTGTTGTCACATGTATTGCATGCAAACCCTCGTGTTCAACACCTATGTTTTCCTAGATGTGATATATGTGTTTGTGCATGTGTACACATAGTTATACACCTTTATAGAAGCAGGGCCTGGGGCCACGACTCTCCAAAGCGGATTCCACTGCCGGGATCGATGGAGCCAAAGGGGTGGCAGCAAAAATGCAAGGGACTGGGCGGGCAGTGGTGCAGGGTTTGGAAAGAGATGTAGCTTTTGAAACAAAGGTGTAGAGTTGTCATTGTGCGAAAACCGGGTTTTCAATACCTTGACCTAAAAAAAGTAGGTCAGCAAAAAACACTTCGTTTTTCATGGTTGCTAGGGCTGAGGGATATATATATATATATCATGTGATTTTGTCTTGGTTGATTCTTTTTTTGAATACCTGTTTTGATAGGGTCATTCCTGCCACTCTCTCTCTCTCTCACACACACACACACACTCACCTCGTTGAAACGACCCCGATCGAGCACGATCCATGACAACTCCCTCCAAAAACGGCACGGTTCTTCGTCATCCTGAGGCCCAAAACGGTCTGGACTCTCCACCCTCCCTGGAATTCACATGGAAGTGGAGAAATCCCCTGGTTGTAGAGGCAACTGGTCTTCCAAGGTGCCATTGTCCACTTCCATGTTAGTTCCAGGGAGTGTATCTTTAAAAAAAAAACTGAAAAAAAACTGTCTTTTTTTGTTTCTTTGTCAGGTCGGATCCATGCGACCCAAACAGCGTTGAACGGGCGGGTGGGCGTTTCACAGGGAAAGAGCCCGGACTGGACGGTGTGATGAAAGCACACATCCCAATAAAGAAAGAGGCAAAGAAGCAAACAGGCCACCTTCGAGTTGTTTTTTCTGGATCTTTTTCATACTACGTCATAGAGAAGAGAAGCATACGTATCGGAGACCCCCAGCTCCACAAAGCTTCCCTGGAGATGAACATGACACCTGGTGAGCATCCTTCCAGAACTTCCGTGACGAACATGGAACTGCTCCACCTGGTGTTCCAATCCATCCACGGACCATCCCGGTGGCCGGTACCGAGGTGCGCAGGCAAGCACGGCACCGAGGAGGACAACGCGAACTACGAAGGTGCGGTTGGCTGGATCGGGACGCGTCGCCCAAGCGGGACGCGTCGCCTTCCGGGAAGACGAACTCAGTTCGACACGGGAACGAACCATCCATGGGACTGGCCGTCATTTGTTCGGCTCCATGAAAACCCCTGGAACCAACCATCCTCTTTTTGTATATGTAAATATACATGAAATGTATTATGGGAGGCGCAATTAAGTTTGGCTCCTTAGATGGGAAGGATTAGCCCAGCCCCAGATTGGAAGAGTTCGAGTTCTGGTTTGTGTCATTCCTGAAACGGACGATGCTTTTTTTCGGGATCTATACTCAAATCTCACATGTATCTAGTAGAAATCGCCTCAAATCGACACACAGACAAAAAAACATGATCCGCCTCGGGGCTTGCCGGTTCGCTGCCCCCTCTACCCACCTTAGACGCCCAGCATCCCCGGGCTCCGTCATCTGGAGCCCGACTAGGCCATTGGGATGTATACCAGCACCCTCCACCAGGCGGATTGAAGACCCTAGTTTCTGGGCACCGGAACTTGTCACCAGAAAACACCTGTTGTCACCAGGGTCCAGGTAGAATGTGTCCATTTAGCTGTACAGTGACCATGTACCCACACTCCCTGATACCCCCACTGAGTCGAATTACACGCGATCGAACCAGGCGATCGAACGCTCGCCAGCATCGCGGTCAGTCCGACGTGCCAAGAAACCCACAGATGTGGTTGGCCATGCACACGAAGCCAAGCGCCAGGGGTTGAGATCCAATTTTTGTTGGGAACAATTCTTTGTGTTCTCAAGTTGCGTTGGGTCAGTGCCCCCCCAAAGACCAACATACCCAGCGTTTCTGATGTGATGTCTATGGGGTGAACAACAAATCGGGAGTGGCAAGTTGCCACCCCCAAACTCGATGGTCTCCCACACCGATGCGGAGCAAGAAGCCAGGTCACGCAGCTTCGCCAAACTGGCCGGGTCACGCAGCTTCGTCCCTTTCGCGTTTAAAGGTCCTTTAGATTTCATGTTGAGGCCTTTCAGGCCGCCTTGATCAAGGGTGGCGTCCACTCAAGTGACCCTGCGGACCCTGCGGACCCTGCGGACCCTGCGGACCCTGCGGACCCTGCGGACCCTGCGGACCCTGCGCTTTGGTTTTTTTCACCACCGCTTCGTGGTGCGTGTGAAAACGGCGGCTTTCTCGAGGCAAACTGGTGGACAAGCGCATTGGGGGTGAGGACCGGGAGTCCTTCATCACGCTCAAGGTGCGGATGCAGCCCGTGTGCTGGCGCGGAGCCCGCGCGGTGGCGCCGCGCGGAACCCCGCGGATGTTGTTAAGCGTGTGGACATGTGTGGACTGAGCTCCTCCTGTTAAGGGGTGAATAGGGTCTTCCCTAGAGTTACCAATTAAAGGTAGACAGCATATATGACAAAATATAAAGTCTATTTTGAGGTTATTTTGAGGGGTGAGTAGGGTTTTCCTTACAAAATCAAGTTCCTCATATATAGTTCCCCTATGTCCCCTACGTTACATTGTCCTGGAACCACACTTGCAGGTGATGCATAGTTCCTAAGTGAGATGGGGCACCAAGGAGGCTTCAAACGATATGAATCGATATGTGTTTTATGTGGTGGCATCCGTATGTCTCATCATAGTAGAGTTACTGCTGTGGGCCAATCAAGAATGTATATGTCCAAAGTTCAAAGACTATACTTGTCCAAAGCACATTCCCGAAATCAGGTCCCGGTTCCTCAAACCATTGTCTTATATAGTCTTTGACTCCCAGGGTATTCATCTCATTGGTTTCTGAATGAGGGATGGCGATCGCTCGCCGCCTTTTTCTGGTGGTTTTGGATACAAAACCAAGAGCGATCGCCGATCGACACGACCCTGTCTGGGACTGGGACTATCTGCCCATTAGTTGGGGTCGCAGGGTCGCAGGTTTCTTCAGACCACCAGGGATCCACATGCCTGCGAAGATCTTTGGACCCTCCATGCCAGAATATAAAAGAGTCTTCAATCATCCATAGAACCGCCACGCTGGCCGCAGAAGCGCGAACCGCTCACTCTCTGCCAGATGACCCGCTCTTCGGTGTATCCACCCTCTGACCCTCAGCTAGCTCAGCTCCACGTGGTCAGAGAACGTGGTCAGAGCCAGAGCTTTCTCAAAAAAAACACATCTCAGTTCGGGGAGTGCATTTTGTTTACTTTTGCTTTGTTTAAAGGAAGAGCCTCTCAACCAAGGATCGCCTGGCGTGTCTGACTTGTGAGTCCCGATCATGGCTCTTGAAGAACTGCTTTCCCAGACTCCAGACGCGACCAGTCGGCAACACTGGCCGACCCTTTGTTCCGCCATGTTCACCCTCCGTTTTCCACTCACCCCCGGGCCCCCGTTGGAAAAAACATCATGATATGCTATCTCCAAAAACTGTTTGACCCTCCAACCTCAGCACAGCGTACCCAGGTGACCGACGTCCCGCGGTTTACGGGCGGCGTCCCGCGTCGGGTGGTGTTCACCCCTTGGGGTGGTCCGGAGTCGACGGTGGTCCCGAGCTGCCAGGACTGCTTGGTCTTCGACTTATGGGGCCGCTTCGTGGAGAAGCTGCCGCTCGCTCCGAGTGATTTTGGGTCGGCTGGGCGGGGGGCCGGGTCAGAGGTCAGGGGTGAGGGGTCTGTTTTTGGAGGTCGGTCTAAAGAGTTTAAAAAGAGTGGTATGTGCAGAGTGGTCGACTTCTGAACAGGTGGTTTACTTCATGTTCTTTTCAATTGGACACATATTATAAGGTAAAAACAAAACCATTCTTCATTCTTCTCTTTTTCGCCCAGATGCCCGACACAGATGCCCAACATTCACCCCAGAAAACCATCACCAGATGCAGGCCATGATTTGCAGTCTTATGGAGAGCCTCCAGCCAAAAAGGGATACTTACTCTTCCTCCGGAGTGTCTAGGTGAGATTGGAAGGATGTTCGGGATGACTGCAGACTTGGTGGTTCGTGAGTGGAGACGGAAGTCACTGATGTTTGATGATATTCCGAAGGGATGTGGTGTTCAGACGTTGTGACAACGGAAGTTTGCAGCCTTTCAATGTACACATACTGCAGCTTTCTTTTTCACACGCTGTTCCTGGAAGTTTGAGATAGGATCTTCAGTCACTTGTGGCAGTTCCTGGTTGTGCTTCTCAGTTTTACATATATAACTAGTATATGCGGATCATGTTGCACAAACTGCACAAAACAACATGGAGCAGAGTGCGACGGACCTGCCGCACCCGGCCCTGAGAGGGACCTGACCATCAAGCAGTGCTTGAGAATTTCGCTGGGATTCGGGAGGTTCCCCCCAGGTGTTTGCCCCCAACCAACTCCATTTCAACACTGGCAACAAAAAAGGATCGCAGTAGGCTTGGGCATCCTAGGCTTTTAACATCTTTTAACACGAGTTTGGCCGTCCGTGTCTCCCAGCATTGAACGCATGGCGTTGAAAGCATCTCCGCTTGGTACACTGAGAATCACACTCTCCATCGTCTTCCATGATCTTCCAGTTGGATCAGAGCATTTTTGGAGCTGACTCACAGTTTGACCACCACTAAACAACACGAGAACAGTGGATAGGATAAGTGGCACACCCGTTCGACATGTGCACTGTTTTTATCGCCGTTCCTGTCGTCGTTCCCATCAGACGCCAGATCTGGACACGTCAGACGCCGTGCCGCGTGCATCCTCTCCGAGGAAGTCCAAGAAGCTCATCGACGCGTATGTCCAGACCTGCGAACATGCGGAGAAGCGCTCCAAGACCCCAGAGCGCACCGGCAATGCCTTCGTCCCTTGAGCCAGGAATGGGTTCCGGAACGTTCGAGAAGTGTGGCCCAAGGAGGTCA